AAGACCCCGAACCAAGCATTGCTATACAATATTAATTCTTTCTGGGCTGTCGAACCGTGACGTCACCTGATATGTCAGCTTGGCAGCTGAGCAGAGCAGTAGACCAAACATGAAGAAAATAATGTGTGTGGCTGTTGTTTTCGTGGTGTGTATCTAAAACAATTTGACATAACATTACACATTAAGACAAATATTATGGTTACTTTTACCGTCATAATAACATTCGTCCCTGACTGCCGCCTTTCTCTGATTTTAACTAACCTTGCATTTAACAGCCTGAGGAAGACATCCTGGCTGCACTAACAGTCCTAGACAACAAATCTCTGAATAGCTATCTAACTAAAAAATAACCTAACATATCTCATAATTATGACTTAGGTAAGTCAAAATTTTGACTTTTTATCTCATAATTATGACTTTGTAGATCAAAAACATTTTTTTGTACTGGCGGAAACGGGCTTCCATAAAGTTTTCTTAAGTCAACACAAGAAAAAAAAAAGTGCAGACAAACACGGAATGTGTTCACCCATACATAGTGTATATATCAGAGTGAGAAGAGATTAGTCAAGACAGGAAAACAGGAGAGGATAAGGGAAGAGACAAGATACTCTTCAACTTCCGGCGCCAACAGCGATGGCGATCGAGGTTACTCGCGCTCTCATGTGTTTGCTGTTTTTCTTTGTTTTCTTGGTTTTGTGCAACTCATGCTGGATTACTTTCACCAGAGAAGAAATGTTAAATATCAGACAACTCACACCAAACTACCTTCCTTTTTGTGAATGCAGAATGCGGTATGGAAATTCTGATTGGAGGCACAGCAGCAATATACGGGACCTGGAAAAGACGCCGCTGGCATAGAAAACGCTCTGGCGCTTTGGTGCAGTTACGACAGAGGGAAACAAGAACCTCACTCCCATCTATTCACCTGGCTAATCTCCGCTCCCTGGTCAACAAAATGGATGAAATTCTTCTCGTCAACAGGACTAACTCTGACTTTGCATGCTCTGCTGCTTTGTGCTTCATGGAGACCTGGCTCAGTGACTCGATCGTGGATAGCGAGATTCGAATACCGGGTTTTCAGGTGTTCAGAGTGGATCGTGTAAAGGAGTTGTCTGGGAAAACGAGAGGAGGTGGAATCTGCTTCTACATAAATGAAGGTTGGTGCACAGATGTCACAGTGCTACAGAGGACATGTACCGCAGACCTAGAGACTCTTGTTATCAACTGCAAACCCTTTTACTCTCCCTGTGAATTCAACAGTTTCATAATGGGAAACTAATGAGAGTGTACATAACACCAC